GCCAGTTAGAATCGTGCTGTTGGAGAATACTGAGAGCACATGGATCTACCACAAGAACAAGTCTGTGTGGGAAGATGTACAACCAACGTGCTCCTTAGAAGTCAGGAAGGCCAAGTCCCTAGAGAAGGATATCATATTGGATAAAATGGAGAGTCAGCGAAAAGGCACCCAACTAGGTGGATTTCTCCATGATCCACGGGAGAAACACCAAGTGATCTGCTTCCATAAAGATCACAGCCTTGAAACCCTATTGGGGCAGTTCTGCAATGTCACATGGGATCACCATAGGCTGACAGGAAGGGCGGTACTCCCAACCTTCAGCCACCCGCCAAGCTAACTCCAGTAGTCAGGCTGAGAGAGACAGCGCCACCTACTGGTCACTCGCAGTGATGCAGCCCGAGGAGGGCGGGACCTTTATTATACAAACACACATTTCATCCCAACAGTGCCCCTTGAGTGGACGTTCCTCAGGACTGCGGAGTGCAGATAGCACAGATGGCCACATTCTCCCCACGCCCACTCTATGAGATGAGAGCACGCTTAACGAAAGTACCGGAGGAAGCGGCTAAAGACACTCCCAGAAATCCCGCGACCATCCGCAGGGAGAGGAAGCTCAGCGCCACAGCCAGAGAGGCTCGGGAAGATGGCTTAGCGGAGCCCTCAGCTGACGGCGCCTCTACTTCCTCCTCATTCTCCGTGAAGCAGCCCTGGCGGTGACCAAAAAAGGTAAGGTCGGCGGTTTAAAGGCACCAGCTGCTTGGAGGAAGGATGAAGGTGGCAGTCTAGGGCACCCTCTGAAGCAGTTCTACTCCGTCCTCCAGGGCCGCCGAGTTGGATTCAATCAGCCATTCCCACGGCAGGAAACAAACAGAAACCACGGCGGGAAGCGGAGGAGTTTTCTGTGCAGATGCCACCTAGAGCAGCTCCCAGGAACACGCATACAGCGCAGGTACAGGCAGAAAACCTACCCCAGCCTGTGCACTTACAGTGAGAGACTGCGCAGAAACCCCGCCAAAATGTGCGGAGCCAAGCACCCGGCTGCCGCCCCCACAGCTGTGGCATCTAGAAGCTGAACCCCAGCTCTGAGAACCCCAAGCTGGAGCCCACTCCACTCCACCCCACGGGTGACAGGTGGAGCCCACCTGAGAAGCAAGTCTACAGGTGCTAGAATGCCCTTCTTAAGCCCAAGATAGCGAAAGACAAGTACGCACACCATGTGCCACGGGCCCTACCGCACGGGAGCACATACAGAGCCATGCACCCTGACACGGGGTCATAGGACACTCTATAACACAGACGACCACCCTCACGCTGCGTGTACACCTGACACGGGCTCATGGCCCCAGCTGACCCCTCCTCTGTGTGCACTGTGGCCCCATCGGCAGAGTCTGTCCATCTGTCTGGGTTGTGAGCACAGTGAGTGACACATAG